TGTCTTAACCTCAAAGAGAAGGAAGTGTTTGGGTTTTTTTTAAAAAAAAGGTTCTGAAATATATCAGTCTATCACAGAGTCCTTTCAGGGGCAATTGCTGGTTATGAACCTGGAACGATCCTAATGAATCATCTCTGCAAGATTCCTTCTTTAAAAGGAGTGCTAATGATCTGCTAGATACAGAATTTTGCAAAAATGCCTCAGAAAGTGACAAAGGGCAACTGGGCACCCTGTTACAGGCATCGGCAGGCAGCGAAAGGGATATCACGCTTATCGTCATGTCAACTCCACACATCATCTGCATGATGAATAACAGAATAACAGAGTTGGAAGGGACCTTGGAGTCCTTCTAGTCCAGGGGTAGGCAACCTTGGCTCTTTTATGACTTCAACTCCCAGAATTCCTGAGCCAGCCATGCTGAGGGGAAAGGGAGAGGTTTCCAAGCTGAGCCATGCTGGCTCAGGAATTCTGGGAGTTGAAATCCACGAGTCATAAAAGAGCTACGGTTGCCTACCCCCGGTCTAGTCCAACCCCCTGCACAAGCAGAAGACCTTATGGTATTCTGGACCAAGGACCTATCCAATTATGCATTTCATGATGCACTTTTTTTCTTATTAAAAAAGGAGGAAAAGTTCATTGGACGTGGAAGGTCCTTTATGAACTTTTCTAGAGCATTCTTATGAAAGAGTGTTATTTTCTACATTGTAAATCAGGAATGTCATCTTTAATGAAGCAGATGATCAGAAACTTTAGTAACACATTTGTGGTTTGCCGTTCTCTCTCTCTCTCTCTCTCTCTCTCACACACACACACACACACACAAACACACATCTTTCTAAATCTATTATCTATCCATATATCTATATCTATCTATCTATATCTATCTATCTCTATACATCTGTATCTATACACCTATATCTATGTATCTTTGTATCTATCTATCTCTATCTCTATCTCTATCTCTATCTCTATCTCTATCTCTATCTCTATCTCTATCTCTATCTCTATCTCTATCTCTATCTCTATCTATCTATCTATCTATCTATCTATCTATCTATCTATCTATCTATCTATTAGCCTATTTTTCTTGGTTTATCCTTTCCTTGTTCCAATTCAGCATAGGCAGCTACAATCAACGGGCTTCTGAACATTGTGTAACCAATATTGTGTAAAAAGAAAAAAATATAAAATATATGGGCAGTAATCCTATTAACTGCATTTAGTTAATTTTAATTAAAGCAAATTTAGCTTTTGTCACGGCTGTTACTACTTTTCAGAGTATGATCCGGTCCATGGTACTCCTTTCTTCCAAAAAGTTAACCATCCTTGTCATATAACAATCCTACATCCCTAGCACTTCAGTAATCCACTAAAGATTTAGTTTAGTTCCACATCTTTCAGTCCAAAGATCTCAGCCCCATAAATTAGTTGGGGAGAGACTTTCCCAAGAGAAAGGTGGGGAAATCAAATTTCCCCTATTGTTTGGGACAAAACGAATATGTTTAAAGATCTCAAAAATTCAGCTTGGTTAAGCTTAAAGGTCAATTCTTCTGATATTGTAGGAAAAAGAGTGTCAGAGCCTAGGGGCAGAGTGAAAAGAAGGGTCAGCCTAGAATCCCTATGTTGCCACAAAGTCCTAACCCCTTTGAGTGCTGCTGACCCTTATCTAAACTCCTACCAGGTGCCAACCATTAGTTGAGAAGATCCCTCTGCATAGGCATGAGTAGCAATAAATCAGTTTAACTGGACCTTCACACGTGGACCTCATCTTTTGCACCTGACAGATCTCAAGGAACTGAACTGATTTCTTTGTTCAATATGCTACTCATCAAATGATAGATAGTTCCTGAAAACAGACAGATGAGTCTTAATAGACTTGAAACCATAGCTCTCTCTAACCCAGGGGTGTCTAACTCGCAACATCATGCGACATGTTGCGACATATCACGACTTTTTTCCCATTGGGTGTGGTTTTGGCATGACGCATCCGGCCCGCGGGCCGGCAGTTTGACACCCCTACTCTAACCTATCAGTCACAGAGGACCATAATCAGTCATAATCATAATCAGTCATAATCTCCCAATGGCTTAGTAGTGGTCCTTGCAGCACATTATCTTCCCATAATCATATATTCAAAGTAGTAGATTACATGGAAAATGAATTATGATGCTGAATTCAAAATCTTGATTGAAGAAGCAGGTCTTCTATTTTTCCTCAGATTTTTAATCTGTCTATACAACCTCTTAACAAGGGCAAACCTAACTATCATTGTCTACGACTCATAACTGCAGCCCTAAATTAATCTGGCCAATATTATCCAACTGACATCTTTCTGACTGATTTGGGGCGTTTAAGTAAAGCATACATTATTCTGTTCATTCCTTTGAGATGATATTACTTGAAAAAAAAATAATTCCACATCATGAAATATGAAACAAGTTAAAACGTCTAAGTGATCTATGAATTTGACTGAGGCAATAGTAAAATATACAGTCTGGTTTAGTTTAATTTAGTCTTAGTTTCCTGTTTAACTTGGAGCCTTCTTTCTTAATCTGTGTTTCTGTAAGAATCTTTCCTGTCATGTAGGGAATGTAAGAATTGCAATTATTGAAAGAATTGTAAAAATGTAAGAATGTACAGTAATTATGTAAGAATACATATCAATCACCTCCACAAATAGTTTTTTTTCCTGTTCTTTGCTTATTTGTTTCAGGGAAGAGATTTGCTGGAACTGTTTTTGCATTAATCTTTTACTTCCAGAAAAAGACATTACAGCTTTCTTTGACTTTTGAATTACTTTCCACAAATTCTGGAAATGTTAATTTGGCATTATCTGCCAAATAGCCTTACTCTGAAAGACCTGATGAAAATTCATTTTCTGCTTTCCCCAAATCTCCAGAGAAGCATTGCTTCGAAGCAGAGCTTGGATCCAAAGGAAGTTATATTGCCTTATTGAGATTTTGTTTCAATCTTATTTTCACTGAGTGGTTAAAAAAAATTACTTGATTGGAGAGGGGGGAAAGAAATTGCATACTGTTGTAAATTGGACATCGAATCCAACCTATCCATCACTACTTCTGAACTGTGTGCCGTGCAGTGCCAATTTTTTAAACACTGATGGAAGTGATAATCCAATACACCAAGTTTCCCACCTCTGTTTCAGTTCTTTCTTGTGAAGAATCAGGACACTATGTTAAGTTCCAGTTAAGATGATTTATTGCTCAAGCCTATACACAAGACCCTAGTCAACTAACAGATCAGCATAAAATTAGAGCCAGATAAGAGTTAATAGAATTAACTCGGATTGCTTATGGGAACGTAATGACTCCAGGCTAATTCCTCTCTTGACTCCACACCCAGGCTTTGCCTCTTCTGTCAAATTCCTCCACCAAATAGGTTGCCTTTCCTACAATTGTATGAGAAGCCAGCTTTCTTTGGAAAAATGCCTAATTTTAGATACGATTTCCTAATTTCCTTTTCAACCTGTTTATGAAACTACCGAATCTCACACAATGGGTCAGCTGAAATTAATTATTTGGGGAAGGCTTTTTCGTTGGCAATTACAATTTCCAATTCTCTTTGTGTCCTAAAAACCTCCAGAATTGTAAGCTAACATCTATTCACCTCTGATCTCCTTCACCTCTATAACTAGTTGTGCCCAAATAAAAATTTAATGCTTTAGCCATCATGTTATATGAATAAGCGTGATTGCTTTTCCTTGGAGAGAAATGTTTTTGTAGGAAAAGGGCTGTGAAGTTGTTAAAAAATGAAAAAATGAATGAGGCTTCTGTTCTTAAAATAGATTAATGGTTCAGTTGCTGTTGATCACAGTCCATGAAATTAATTTTCAGGTGATCCATTTAGCATCCAAATTTTCCATGATGAAAGTTTGCTTCTGAATAATCTAATGGGTTCCTTCACTTTTTTGTGCTACTTAAAAAGTACCAAACTTACTGAATAGACTGTCAAACTTCTCCAAAATGGAAAGATTGATGGGGGATATAATTTGGTTTCCATAGGTTTTACAGGTATAGAAAAAGCAAATAGAAGATATTTCTTAATGTTTCTCTCTGAAGGGGAATCATCAAAGTCTTGAGTTCTTCTCCCCTAAATTCCTATGATTACAAGGCAGTTTTCCACAACTACGGTTTGTTACTAAATCTCAAAATGTAAAACTTGTGTAGCATTCTATAGCTCCAACACATAATCAACACACGCGGAGTCAACATTTCTCCTATATTAGCAGACAGACCCATATTTTATAGAATAAAAATTAATCATTGTCCAGGCAGTGATGGAAAGGCAAAGAGTTTGTGACACCACAATTACATGGATTTTTTTTAAAAAAATATGTAAAATCTTGAACAACCTACTTTTTATTTGTCTCAGGAGGTATCAACAAACCAACTTTGAGAAGGCTGTCAGGTTAAACAAGGTCCATCCTGGTTAATATTTGGATGAGAAGGTACTAGGAAAACCAGGACTACAGCATAGGCTACAGTATAGACCAGGGGTAGGCAACCTGGGCTCTTTTATGACTCGTGGACTTCAACTCCCAGAATTCCTGAGCCAGCCATGCTGAGGGGAAAGGGAGAGGTTTCCAAGCTGAGCCATGCTGGCCCAGGAATTCTGGGAGTTGAAGTCCACGAGTCATAAAAGAGCCGAGGCTGCCTACCCCTGGCCAAGGAGGCTCATCGCTTAGAACAGGAGGACTTAGGACAGAGGTAGGCAACCTTGGCTCTTTTATGACTCGTGGACTTCAACTCCCAGAATTCCTGAGCCAACCATGCTGAGGGGAAAGGGAGAGGTTTCCAAGCTGAGCCATGCTGGCTCAGGAATTCTGGGAGTTGAAGTCCACGAGTCTTAAAAGAGCCAACGTTGCCTACCCCTGTAAACTAGACACATCAACTGCTGCATTGCCTTCTTCTGTCTTGGTTTTAAGATTGCAAAAATGAAGCCATTAATTTTCTTCTTCTATTTCTGCTTTCCTACTCACCTAGGTGTCTCAGTGAGCGTATCAACTTTTAGCCTAGTGGCAATCTCTCTTGAGAGATATAGTGCCATATGCAAACCCCTGCAGTCTCGGGTCTGGCAGACCAAAACCCATGCCTTGAAGGTAATTGCAGCCACATGGTGTCTGTCTTTTGTCATCATGACGCCATACCCGATTTACAGCACCCTGATGCCTTCAGCGCTTCCTAACAGCACCACGTCCAAGTGTCGTATTAATTGGCCAAGCACAATGATCGAGCAGTCCTGGTAAGAATGGACCATAGGTCCTTATTTTATTTTATTTTTGAAGGCATTTGTCTTTATCAAATTATGGAAAGCTCAATGATTTGTGATTTCAGTGGAACCAAAATAAGTATAATAGTACCATTGCAGCTAATTGCACTAATGATTGATGTCTCGATTACAACGTTAACTGTATAATTATAGCACAATAAGTTGCACTTATGTAGTAATCAACTGAGACTTTTTCATTCTTCTATAGTTCTGGCACTTTCTGCATTTATATCATGTTCTCCACCCACTATGGACAATGGACACATTCTTCTCATATGTCAACCCAACTATCTTCCCCAAGATCATTATCCAGATGTGGTTGCCTCCTAAGAAATGGGGAGACATTCAATTCCCCCAAAGTTTCAGATACTAAAGCGTTGATCAATCAAACCTAAAGTGGTCAAGCTGGACACCCACATTGTCCAGGAAATAAAAATTCTGAGCAGTTAATCAGAAATATGTTTTCTCTTTTCTCTCAAGTGGATTTTTTTTATAAAGGACAGAGAACTTTTAAAACTTTCTTCTTTTGTCTTCTATCTCAGGTTTTATTTTTCCCCATCTTTTCCTCCTGTATAAAAGTGCAGAGGATTTTTGTCTGCAAAAGAGGATGGGGGAAGTTATAGAAAGGGATCCCCCAGGAGTGTTTGGGAGAAGACACAACAATTGGGGTTCTGTTACAAGGGCCTAAGGACAGTGGTGGGATTCAGCTGATTCGCACCAGTTCAGCAGAACTGGTAGCTAAATTTTACTGAGTTCAGAGAACCGGCTGAATGCACATTGCTTCTGGAAGTCCATTCTAGGCCTCGGACGCCTGGAGGAGGCCTCCCCAGCCTAGAACAGCCCACCAGAAGTGCGTGGATGCCACTTCTGGAAGTCCGTTCTAGGCCTCAGAGGCTTGGAGGAGGCCTCCCAGACCCAGAATGGCCTGCTGGAAGTGCATGGATACCGCTTCTGGAAGTCCGTTCCAGGCCTCGGAGGCCCAGGCCTGCATCCAATAAGAGAACCGGTTGTTCAAGTATTTGAATCCCACCACTGCCTAAGGACCTCCAATTGAGGCAAGCAGGGAAAGCACAATCGGGATACTACGTCCAGTTTTGGTCATCATGGTGCAAAAAAAAGATGCTGAGATCTTAGAAAAGTACAGAGAAGAGCAAAAAAGATGATAAAGAGTCTAGACTCTAGAGGCTAAATCTTACAATGAATGGCTAAGGCAGGGGTAGACAACCTTGCCTCTTTTATGATTCGTGGACTTCAACTCCCAGAAATCCTGAGCCAGCCAAGCTGGCTCAGGAATTCTGGGAGTTGAAGTCCATGAGTCATAAAAGAGCCAAGGTTGCCTACCCCTGGGCTAAGGGAACTATCGGTAGGTGTGCTTAGCCTAATAAATAGAAGACTTAGAAATGACATGATCATTGTCTTCCAATACCTGAAGGGCTGTCAAAGAGAAAAGGAGATTGACTTATTCTCCAAAGCACCTGAGGGCAGGACAAGATGCAATGGGTGGAAGCTCATAACCGGAAGATGCAACCTGGAACTAAGGAGGGATTTCCTGTCAGTGAGAACAACTAATCAATGGAAAGACTTGCCTCTCAGAATTATGCGTGCTTCACCACTGGAAGTTTTCAAGAAAAGATTGGATAACCCTTTGTCTGGGGTGGTACGAGGATCCCTGTCCTGGGTAGGGGGTTGGACTAGAAGACCTCCAAGGTCCCTTCTAACCCTACGATTTTATATAAGTCTCAGGGAAGGAGAGTTTCTTGAGTTATGGGTACATTTCACTCATAGCAGATAATTGTATGACTATCTGCAAGCTTTGCAGAGAGAAAGATGGTGTAAAGGACTTAAATCATCGTGAATTTAAGCAAATTCTTTTAAGAAAAGGAGATTTGAATGGATGGATACATGTGTGAGGTATATTCACTCTCTCTCTCTCTCTGTCTCTCTCTGTCTCTCTCTGTCTCTCTCTCTCTCTCTCTCACACACACACACACACACACACACCTGCATTCATTATCATATTCCTTGTCAAATTAGACAGCCGCTTAGACAAATTATTGGGTGCACTAGCCTTCCTTTCAGATAAATAGCACGGCTGTTTTGCCGTCACGGTCACCGGCATGGTTCCAGATTTGCAGCAAAGTTTACAGGCCTATTGACTGAAATCTTCAACAAATAAATAAATAAAACAGATAGACCCATATTTCTTCAGCAGTTCCTGCAATAACAACTCAAATTATCATCTACCCTGTTTTGGATTTTGGGTGATTTTAAATCAAACCTGTGGCATGAACATTAGTCAAAAGTGGGTTTATTTGTTTGAGACCATATTATTTAGTATTTGGAACTGGCGAGCTAGCCAAAGATGCCAGATTAATCAGCTGTAATTGTAACTGAAGCTCAAGTGGGAGATGTTTTCTGTAATATACCTCCTTCAGATGATATCCTGATTGTTAATCATGACAGCCCTGGAAAGCAAAACAATTATGTTTAAATTATGCCTTTGTACGCTCTACAATAATTTCATATTTCAAATCAGAAATAGCCCCGTAATAATAAACTTTCCAAAAACTGCTCTGCTGATCTGCTTTAGAAAAAACAGAGATAATTATAGCAAAGAAGCAGACATTTGTTCTGGAATAAATGTACATGGACTAAATCCTGTTTTTGTGGGGGTGGGGGTCCTGCTTTTAAAATAACAGGCGCTGACTGATGGATTCATTTATTAAATTTACATGCCACCCTTCTTGCTGTGCAGAGCATTCTGGGTGGCTTACAATGCAATAAAAAAGAAGTATAAAAGCAATTATAAATATCGGAATAATTAAAATTACAAACATTGAATAGATTAAGAACCAAGGGCTTGTGCACCAGGTACCCCCACCCTGAAGTGTCTCCATTGGGGCCCCACGCCAATCTAGGTCAAAGCCCCTTTGGAAAAACCACAAGGATGTGGGTGGCTACCTCGTCTGAGGTAGCAGGATGTTCCAAAGGACAGGGGTCACAGCGGCAAAGATTTTTCTCCTAGAACCTGCCAGTCAAAATTCCTTGGCTGATGGGGTCCAGAAGTAGACCTCTTTTTCTGGACTGTGTGGGGTGGGCCACTCCTATTGGGGCAAGATGGTTCTTCAGATATCCTGGAGCCATGCCATAAAGGGCTTTAGAGGTGATGACCGACCTCCTGAATTGAACCCAGAAGCAAATCGGCAACCAGGGCAGTTCCCATAACAGTAGTGTTATACCTCAGGAGCCTCCAAAACTGTCCATCGTATTCTGAACCAATTGTAGCTTCCAAATAGTCTTCAAGGGCAGCTCCATGAAGAGTGCATTGTAGTAAGACAACAGAGATGACCAGG